AATACTCCCACTTGGAGACACAATACTGGTTTCACTGAATTGGAAGTTAAGAAAGCCTTTGGATCAAAAGGGAAAATGGGAGTTACTGTATTGGCTGGTGTAACTGATCCTGATTACCAAGAGGAAATAAAATTGATACTACATAATGGAAATAAAAGAACAGTATGTATGGAATACAGGCAATTCCTTAGAACATTTCTCAGTATTATCATGGTCTGCAATTGAAGTCAATGGTCTGCAACTCACGTCCAACATGACTACTAAAAGCCGAGACTCTTCAGGAATGAAGGTTTGGGTCACTCAGCCAGGCAAGGAACCATGACCAGCTGAGGTGCTTGTTGAAGGCAAATGGAATATGCAATGGGTTGGGGAAGAAGACAGTTCTAAATACCAGCTATAACCATGTGACCAGTTGCAGAAATGAGGACTATAATTATTACAAGTATTTTTTCCTTGTATGTTCTCATCAACTATTTTTACTGTTTACACTTGTAAAATAGAAGATGTAAACAGGACTAGTTTTTGGTTGTGCTAGTTGTATCATATTAGGTGCAAGTATGCCTTTATCACTGTCTTTATTTAGAGATTAGGTATGACTTAAGATGTGTATAGGTGCCAAGTTGACAAGGGGTAGACTATGACGGTTAAGGTTGTGTGCCAACTTGGTTGGCCCTCAATTCTCAGTGATTTCACAGTTACGATGTAGACATCCTCTATGAGATCAGATATGAGCAGTCAGTCAGTTGAAAGGGAATTTCCTTGGGGGTATGGGCTGCACCCAATATATATGGACAACCTGGCTTTATGCTTGATCTCGATCCTGCACGTGGCTTGTCATCATCTGACCTGTGTTTCTTTGGATTTTAGCCAGTGGCCTGCTATATTGCCTGCTGATCTTAGGATTCACTATACTCCACAGCCTGTCATCTTACCTGCTGATCTTGGATTTGTCAGCTTCTGCAGCAGCCCGTAATGAGTAGCCTGCCATCTGACCTGCCAATCTTGAGTTTGTCGGCCTTTGAAGGTATATGAGTCAGAAGCCTCCAGCCTGATAATCTGACCCATGGACTTGGGACTTGCCAACCACATAAGCCATTTCCTTGAGATAAATCTGTCTACATATATAAGCTTCATTGGTTTGGTTCTCTGGAGAACCCAGCCTAAGACAATCTCTTAGGGTAATATATTAATAAAGGTAATATATTAGTATTAATAACTGACATTAGATGAGTGCTTTTATGTGTCAGAAACTGTTCTAAATTCTACTAACACTCAAATAGAATTGGAAAATGTTTTGTAAGATGCAGTGTGACATGTAGTAGGACTATTCCATTAATCCTCAAGAGCAGAGATTGCATGGATTATTTGCTTACAATAATTTTTTGGACTTCTCACCTCTTACAAAAGTAGAAAATACTGGTTAAAACTCTGGAGCCAGTCTCCTTGCTTCAAATTCCAGCTCTGCCACTTCCCAGCAGCATAGCTGTGGCCTAGTAAGGGCAACTCTTTGGTAAAATGAATACAATAATAGTATCTATACATTATAAGGTTACTGTTGTTAGGATTAAATGAATACATGTAAAGCACTTAGGATGATGCCTAGAAATTAATAAATGTCACTTGTTATTGTTATTTATCATGTCCTGTTCCTAGCATTTCTTATTCAATATTTTTTTTCACACAAAAAGAGACAAAGCATGGTAAACTGGAAAGAATATCATGTTTTAGAATCAGAGAGACCAGAGAGTTCATTTTCTGGCCTAGCTACTTTGATTAGTTATATGATCTGAAGCACATCATTTTAATTTTTTGACCCTCTATTTTCCATTTCTAAAATGGGTTATAATAGCACCTACTAAGGGTTGAAGATTAAACAGGAAAACACACGTACTGTGCTTTTAATAACCAATAGCTAGTTTTATTATTAATAACACAGCTACGTTTGCTTAATTAAAACAAAAAATATTAAAAAAAACTAAGTCAAATCCTCAACCATTTTTAAAAGGAAGGGGAACCAAACTAACATTTACAGAACATCTTCTATGTTCCCTGTAGTAACAATTTAATCTTTAGAACAATTCTTAAATGAGAAAATGAGGCTCAGGGAGGTTAAGTCACTTTTTCAAAGATGGCACAACAGAGATTCAATCCCAGAACTGAATGAGTTTATTAATCACAGTGCCTTCTCAGAGTGCCAAATCTTCATTCAACAAATACATACTAAGCTACTATGTTTCAAGTACTCTCTCTAGGCATATATACTTCTTATCTTTCTTCCAAAATAACAGGACATGATAACTAATAATAACAGTTACCATTTACTGAGCATTTATTTGATAGCAGGTACTGTCCAAGCACTTTACATGTATTAGTCATATTACTTGAATATTGTTCCAAAGGATGGCAATTTGCACCCACCCAGAGGCACCTCGGAAGGCAGCCCTGGTGAGCCCTTCTGAAATGACTTGAAAACCCTATACAGCTGTTCTACTCTGCACACACGGGGTCAGAATGGACTCAATGGCAACTAATAACATACGCACCCCTCCTTGGACACAGCATGGACATAATCAGAGAACTGTGCAAAACTCCATTTCAAATAGGATATACGGATAGTATATTTTATTATTTACTTAGAGTTTATTATTCTCAAAATTACAGGCTACAACATGGAATTTTGAAATGTAAGAGAAAATTCTATAAAGAGTGCCCCGATCAACTTGAACAAGGATGTAGAAGGTGGTTAAAACTTTGTAAGTAGTGCCACTTAGCACTTAGCAATACTTATATGTCCTTTTTAAGCACAGGCTCTGGAGCCAGAGTCAACATAAACTATAAAGGCAAAGGACTCTAAGATATTCATCCTACACAAGTGAGTATGCAGACAGAGATATATATATATATATATATATTATATATATATATTTATATAATATATACATACTTTTATATTGGTCCACTGAGTATACATATTTTAACAAAAGATAATAATCTATATAATCCAGTTAAACATATATAAGATTAGGGTACACTTATTACATTGAAAGTTGGTATATATAAGTTACAGATATTTAATATTTTCCAGAGAGTTTTTAAATACAAAAAAAAAAAAAATATTTTAAAAGCATTTCAAACCTTTGTTTATTTTCCCAGTGCAAAAGAAGGCTGTTCAAGTCAACTTACCTTTTTCCTGAAGAATTAAGGGGAAGAAAAAAACCCAAAAACTCACCACCTATTACCACTCCCAACACTACCTTCTCGATCAACTTCTGCAGTATATCCTTAGGCCACTGGATTACTTTATCAAAATTAAAGCCTTGTGATGATGATTCAGCCCTTGCTTCATATGTATGACTTTTATGCTAAAATGTTTCTATTTACAAAAGTAGAAAAAAATTAGCAGTGCAAAAAAGTGGTTTAGATTTTTGTTTTCAACTGTAGCAGTTCAATTATGCATGGAGAGGAAAAAAAAAAAGCACCATTTCGACATGAAATGAATTGGTTATATAAGATTAGGCATTAAGTTACCTGATTAACATAAATCAATACCACCTTGTTGGTGGTCCTAGAGAATTCTGATTAGTTTTAGGTGCATTTTTCTTTTCTTTTTTTTTTTTTTTAGGTGCATTTTTCTTATCTTGGAATTCAATAGATTAAGTCATAACAGATGTTAAAAAATTAAAGTTATTCTATAATTTACTTCCTACTTCACAGTTTATTTCAAGTTCAGCTTGTCTGCTAGGTCAGTTTTTTACAGGAGATGAGCTTTTAACATGTGAAGAGCTTTGGTGATTGGCAGGTCTCTTCTCTCCAAATTAAAAAAAAATTTTTGCTAGCTTACCAATTTTGTAAGTGAAGAACATAAAGAGAATAAAACTATTTTTAAACCATGAAAGGGAAAAAAGAGCAACAATATGGTTTAATACATATCACCTTCTCCATTTGTATTCAGTGAAAGATTTTACTGAAATTTCAATCAAGTGAGCCTTCATTAAGGAAAACAAAAATACATATTTGAAAAATTAAAGTACCTTCCAGTTCTAGCTTGCTAATGTTTCTTCTGCAAAAGTACAAAAATAAACCTATTATGAACTAAAGAGATCAGTGCCACTGCAAAGGGAAAATGGCTGCCATGTTAAGACTTTTGCTTACCTTAGATGGAGGGGCATATTTTAAGTGATAAATTTTTTCCATCGTCTAGCACTTAATATGAGTATTTTCTTAAAAAGTTGATTTGTAAGAAATTTATTTTATTAATTAACAAACACATGGAAAGGTGTCTATTGATTGAAAATTCTTTAAATAATCCACAGAAATTGTTTTTCAAATATGTCACACATGAAGCTTTAACATTTTTATTTAGGAAACGATCAAATGTGAAACTATAATGGTTCAACCTAAAGCATCCTTTTTAAAATAATTGAGTCAATCTAGGCAAAAAGTTTTCCCTGTCCCTAAAAAAAAAAAAAAAATACTGAACAGCATTTTTATTAAAACAGTATGCAGACGTGCATTTCAAACTAGCCCATTTGCACAATCATACAAGTTGTAGGATATTCTTTGTCTTCCCCTCCCTCAACCATTCAAATCAAGGGAGACCACAGCAAACTTTAAGAACCCCACTGATTACCATCAAAATAACCACAGAACAAGGGTAGCGTAGGGATGAAACTATTTCTGTATATTCCAGAAGACAGAAGCTTGGGTGCTCCAGCTTTATGAGTTAAAGTAGCATACACAGGCAAAAGCTTACAGTAAATGCACACCAAAACAGGGGTCCTGGTGAATTATCTCACTGGGTTACTGATTTTACAGGGGGTGGGGGTGGGGAGACAAATCTGAAATGAAGGGGGAAAAAAAAAATAAACTAAACTTTTGTCACATTTATAGGCATTTCAAACCTATTGTATCCCCATGCTCATAGGTAGTTTTGATACACACTATAAATAGCTTCAGTATTCAGGAAGAAGAGTGTTGCTGACAAAGGACATGAGACTTCTTCAGGCTTCTGATATCTCAGATTTGCTGAGTGCGATCGCCAGTTCTAAGTCTTCCTGCTCTTGCTGATTCAGTCGGGCAAGTCTCTGCTCTTCCTCTCTCTCACTTTCCCTCTTGGCCCATTCAATCATATCTTCTTCAGAAGGATACTGCCATTTGAAAAACCAAATGAATGAATGAATAAAGTAAGTGAAAAAGAAGAAAAAGTAGTTTTTACAAAAGGGCATTAACAATTTTTTCAACCTGAAGGACTCTGGGAATAACTGTATGTGTTGCTTGTTAAAATTTTTTCCTGAAAAGACGTTTAGGTATAATGAGTTACAAAACTGTGGTTTAATTAAAAAAATTAGTGTAGTTTACAGATAGAAAGTCTACAAAACTAAACCCTAAACCATCACTTTCAGAAAGTAGAAATGCTTACAGTGGATTAACTCACTGCCATTGAGTGGACTCCAACTCATACTGACCCTCAAGGATTTCCAAGGCTGTGAATCTTTATGGAAGCAGAATGCCTCATCTTTCTTCTGTGGAGCAGCTGGTGGGTTTGGAACCCTTGACCTTTTTTGGCTAGCAGCCAAATGCCTTAACCATTATACCACCAGATAAGGCAGATTAGAGGATTTCAAAGCAGTAGAACGTTAGTTTTTTTGACCTAATACAAAACTTTTACTACTTCAACTTTACTGAGCATGCTGTCATGTCAAACCATTTTTAACCTAAACCCCCTCATAACTCTCTACCTGATCCTAGTACAGAAAACTATGAAGCAAAAATTATGCTGATTTTTCTGTACATAATATAAGAGTACAGGGTAAACTAAGCAAGATATGGATCAAATAATTTCTTTAACTCCTGTCAGGCTTTGGTAAGTTTTTGACCCAGTCTAAATAAAATCTTGCATTGTTGGTTGCTGTTGAGCTGTTTTGACTCATAGCACCCCCATGTGTGCTCTATAGGGTTTTCAAGGCTGTAACCTTTTGGAAGCAGATTGGCAGGCCTGTCTTCAGAAATGCTTTTGGGTGGGTTTGAACTGCCAACCTTTCAGCCAGGAGTTGAGCATTTAACCATTTCTATCAACCAGGGATGGTTAAATAAAACTTTGTTGTTGTTGTTGTTATGTGCCGTCGAGTCGGCCCCGACTCATAGCGACC